TTAATAATGATAATAATAATAACACTTTATTTGTACCCCACTACCATCTCCCCGGGGGACTCGGTGCGGCTTACATGAGGCCGAGCCCAAACACAACAATACAAGCAAGAACAACACAGTACAAGCAGTTAAAAACACATAAACAATAAGATACACAACATTATCAATAAAACGACACATAATTTATAGTTCACCTACAATTAAAGAGCATTCTGAACTCCATCAATGATGGAATTGAATCAAACTTGGCACACAGAACCCCCATGACCAACAGAAAAAACTGGAAGGGTTTGGTGGGCATTGACCTTGAGTTTTTGGAGTTGTAGTTTACCTACATCCAGAGAGCACTGTGGACTCAAACAAGGATGGATCTGGACCAAACTTGGCTCACAGACTCAATATGCCCAAATGTGAACACAGATGGAATTTTGGAAAAAATTGACCTTGACATTTGAGAGTTGTAATTGCTGGGATTTATAGTTCACCTACAATCAAAGAGCATTCTGAATCCCCCCAATGACAGAATTGGGCCAAACTTCCCACAGAGAACCCATGACCAACAGAAAATACTGTGTTTTCTGATGGCCTTTGGTGACCCCTCTGACACCCCATCGTGCCCCCCCCAGGGGTCCCGACCCCCAGGTTGAGAAACACTGGCCTATGTACTTGGAATTCACGGCTCAGCCTGCAAGCAGTTCTGACAAACAGGAAAAGCAAATACCTCCTTCTTGAAGGATCACCAGGTGACTAGGAACAAAAACCAGAACTACCTTGGTGCTATAAGGAACTACACAATGGCATTGCAGCACACCACCTTCTCCAAGTACAACTGCCTTGAATTTCACATTTCTGCCACTTTCCTTAAAAATTATTTTTAATTACAATAATTAGCATATACTAGAAAGATCCGCATACAGAAGGAAGAACGTTAGCTCCAGCTTTTTGCTGATTGATAAATTAATAAATATTTTTTTAAAAAAAAATAATGAGAGACTTTTAAGATCGTATTGTTACGGTCTGTGTAAAGATTCCTGTGAAAGAATTTTGTATGGGAGCGAAATTGTACACAAGCTGCTACAGTTATTCTGAAGGCTTTATTTCCTCAGCCAATTATGAACATTATGCAAAGTATTAATATCTAATTTTAATTCGCTCAATATTCCCATGAAGGATAAAAAGTCTAATTAAGGTATCTGTACAAAAAGCCACCGGCAGTAATTTCAGGGAATAATAGAGAACAACCAGGTAGTCTTTTTAAATGCAGGTTGCAAATTAATTGATATCTTAATTAGACTTTAGTACCAAGATTATTAGATTGAATCAGAGCTCAAAACACCAGGACTATTAAAATAAAAGAAAGCATAACAACAAATGAGTTGCTTTTCCGAAGGTTTTCCTCCGAATCCGACACGTTCACAGGATGGTCAGGCGCGGCGATAGAACCGGCACAAACGCATCCTGATAGCGGAGCTGGTGCCGCCTTCCTCCTCCCTCGCTCCCAATCCCAAATTCCACAATCAATATCTAAGAAATGTCTTTAAGTTAAAGTTCACACTCCTGGGAGACCTTCCAGACAGGCCCTACACCCCAGGATCCGATCCCAGGTTTTCTGTTTATTCCAGACTAGCTGTACCCGCCACGCATCGCTGTGGCCAACCTTCCCTCCCTCTTTCTCTCCTTCTCTCCTTCCTTCCTTCTTTCCTTCCTTCTCTTCCTTTTCCCTTTCTTCCCCCCCTTTTCTTTCCCTTCCCCTTTCTCCCCTTTCTTTCTTTTCTGCCTATTATTGGACTGCAACTCCCAGCAGTCCTCCTGATCTATCTATCCACTTACTTATCTATCAACGAGCAGCAGCCAGGATGTTAACCGGCGCTCCTTACAGAGAGAGGCCAAGCCTCCTGTTCAAGGAGCTCCACTGGCTGCTGTTTATTTTCCGAGCCCAATTTAAGGTGCAGGTGCTTACCTACAAAGCCCTGAATGGTTTGGAACCATCCTGCCTGCGTGACCGCATCTCCGTCTACGAACCCACACGTTCACTTCGGTCATCTGGAGAGGCCCTGCTCTCGATCCCACCTGCGTTGCAAGCGCGTTTGGTGGGGACGCGGGACAGGGCCTTTTCCGTGGTGGTCCCCCGACTCTGGAACACCCTCCCCAAAGATCTTAGACAGGCCCCTACATTGGCAGTCTTCACAAAGAACTTGAAGACCTGGCTGTTCCGATGTGCCTTTCCAGAATAGGAAATCTCCAATACCAAGTCCCAGAAGCACTTTACTAGAACTAAGATTGCCGCACGCTGCACACTGCACTTGCCCTAGAAGCCTTGTCACATCAGCACTTTTAATCCTGTGCCCATTACTCTGGCCCAGCCCAGTTTTACTGTGTCTTAGCGTATTGTTTATTGCTTGTTGTTTAATATTGCTTTAATTGTTTTTAATTTGCTTTAGGTTGTGTATTGCTATGTTGTGTGTTGAGGCCTTGGCCTTTGTAAGCCGCATCGAGTCCTTCGGGAGATGCTAGCGGGGTACAAATAAAGTTAACAACAACAATAATAATAATATCTCTATCTAATCTATCTATCTGGTGGATTGCTGGGAGTTGGAGTCCAGGAATAGGAAATTGGGATTATGCCGGGATTGGGATGCTCTCAAAGAAATCCAAGGAGAAGAAAGCTTGGAAGCAGGGCATTTGGATCCTCCTCCTCTCCTAAAGGACCTGGACTGGGGGATGCTGGGAGCTGTAGTCCAGAAGAGAGTGTGGATATCCTATTGTGTGTTTTGTTTGCCGGGGGAGTTGTTTTTGCACATGCACTGTAGCATCTTTTTGCTTTTTCGGTTTTTCAAGTCCCTTCCGCTGTGTTTTTGGGCTTGGCCTCATGTAAGCCGCCCCGAGTCCCCATCAGGAAGATGGTGGTGGGATATAAATAAATATTATTGTTGTTGTTGTTGTTGTTGTTGTTCAGTGTTTTTGTGAGTGATGGCCGCTCATTGGCCTGAGAGGTGTCTTGTGTCCAAATTTGCTGTTAATTTGTCCAGTGGTTTTTGAGTTATGTTAGTCCTACAAATGAACATTACATTTTTATTTATATAGATTATCTGGCAGTGCGGAATCATATAATTGTTGTATGTCAGCCTGTTCAGCCTGTGATTGTGTCTGATCACCAGGTTGCTTTGGATGATGGGAATGACAATGATGTTCATGTTCAAGCTGATTTCCCCGATGGAAATGGGGATTCTGTCCATGAAGATGTTCCTGAAGGGAATGGGGATGTTGGTCAGACTACAGCAAAAGTTAGAAGTGAAACCAAAATTAAGGAAGAATCCTTTCCTAGCTGTTTGGGAATTAGGGAAGGGTTATAAGTGCCAAGTACGGAATCTAGCTTCAGACAAAGCAATGTTGGATTCACATTAAGTTCTTCATGCCAAGTTCCTGGTCTCTTGTCTTTGTTTGACTCGTGGATTTAAGTGCCTTTGCTGTATTTGCCTTTGAAATCAAGTATCTAGTTTCATGGACTTTCTTTGGACTATTCCTCTTTGAACTATTTGTTCCTGTTTTTTTCCTAATCATTTGGATTACCTTTTTACTGTGGATTACTTTTTAATGCTTTGGCTTTTATTATCCTCAATAAACTGCTTGCCATTTTAACCCACTTTTGTGGTGAAGCACAAGAATCATCCAGTTTAAAGCAGAAAACCTGGGATCAGATCCCGGGATCGAGGGACTGAAAGGGCCCCAGAATATGCTGGCCAACTATCATCATTCATACTCAAGAGCAGATATTACTAAACACTAAAACCCAGATATGTTTTTAGAAGAAGGAAGGTCCTTCTCCAGCTGTCCTGGTTTAGCAAAGCCATTCCCAATCAACTCTCTGTTGTTGCACTTTATTCAAAAGGTTCCAGTTCCTCTTTCCTCTTCCCACCTCCCCCTCTTTGTCCTTGAGTTACTTTAGATTTTGCAATCTGAATTCAAAATGCAAAGTAATAATATACTAACTTTATTTTTACACCCCGCCATCATCTCCCCAAAGGGACTCGGGCTGGCTTACATGAGGACCAAGCCCAACATACAGCAAAATTTACCATCTAAAACACAGTTAAAAGCATAAATACATATAACATAAGCCATCTAATTAAAACAATTGAAAACGGCAAATATAACAACATCGTAAAAGTGTAGCAAAGTAGCCTCAACAACCAGTAACTAACCAGGGATATGGTGGCATAGTCAGATTGGAGAGGGTCGAGCATAGGCTTGTGCAAAAAGCAAACTACAGGGCCGGGCTGGGAGTAACGTGCTAAGTACAACCTTGTCAGGATGCTACCCTTTGGTATTCCTGGCTGGTGCTGAGTGCAAAGTGAATTCTGGCTGGGGTGCAAGAGGCACTGGGAGTAGAGTGGGCTGGCTGGAGATGACTTCGAACAGTGGTTCTCAACCTGGGGTCCCCAGATGTTTTGGCCTTCAACTCTCAGAAATCCTAACAGCTGGTAAACTGGCTGGGATTTCTGGGAGTTGTAGGCCAAAAACACCTGGGGACCCCAGGTTGAGAACCACTGACTTAGAGCTTAGGCCATAACTAGCACCTCCATGAGCATCTTGCCTACAAAGCCTTGCTCCTTGGAAAGTGAGTAACTGAGTATGAGAGAGTGATAGCCAAGAAAGAAGAGAAAGTGGAGATAAGCTGGAATGGAAGAAGCAGAAGGAGAGAGGAGGAGAGGACTGTGAGGACAAAAGCAGTGGCAAGACACAGCAACAAGCGAAGAAAAGAGAGATGTGATGACTGGTGATGGAAGAAGAGAAACGGCAGGGAGGTCATAGCTACATGTTTACATCCTGATTCAGATAGTAGGGCAACTCGCATTGCCTTTGCTTCTGAAACAAGAAAGACACACCGTTCCTGATACAGCTCAGCAAGAAAGGACTACTGAAACCATCTTGGGATATCTCCAAAGGCACTGGAGCATCCTGCTGAAGACCACAATGGCAAGAGGACGTGCGTTACTCACTCGGATGTCGACCACAGTCCAATGTCTCCAGAAACGGAACTTTGGGTCCGCTCGGCTAGGGGCGTCCGGATCCACCATGATGAGAATGTATCTCTTACTCTGTAAAACACAACGAAGACAATCTTATCAAGCCAACCCTTCAGCATCTTCCAAAGCTGGGAAATGTCCATTTGTGTAAGAGTAAAAATGCGATTATAATATTATAATAACAAAACTTTATTTCTATACGGCTCCATCTCCCCGAGGGGATTCAGAGCGGTTCCCAGGTAACATCACAAAACATACAAAGTAAAAAACAACATAACCGTAAGATTAACAAAACAAAATATAAGCATAAAAATGGTCGCCATCACACACATATATTAAAAGTAATCCTGCCTGTTCAAGGCAATTTAAAAAAATTAAAAGGCAGGGCCACGATTTGTGCAAGCCCAAAAATTCTAGGTGGCCCGGGAATTGAGTGCAAGGCTATGGCAGGCAACAATAATATTAGGTACGGGTCTGTGGCTGTTCATTCTGGGGCTGATTAGAGGAAAGAATCTGGTAACTGGTAGGAAGAATAAGGCCGCATTCGACAATTTGTGGGGCTGAGTTAAAACTGGTCATTTTCAAAGGTTTGTTGAAACCACCAGGTCTTCAAGCTCTTATGAAAGGAGGGGAGGGGCCGGTCTTATTTCCCTTGGAAGGGAGTTCAGAGATGGGGGGGCCATAACTGAGAAGGCCCTCTCTCTCGTCCCCGCCAACCATGTTTGAGACAGTAGTGGGACCGAGAGGAGGGCCTCCCCAGAAGATCTTAGAGCTCGCGCCGGTTCATAGAAGGAGATGCAACTGTGGAGATAGGCGGGGCCCGAACCGTTTAGGGCTTTATAGGTCATGACCTGCACCTTGAATTTGGCTCGGCAACTTATCGGCAGCCAATGAAGATTAGCAAAAAAATTTGATGCAATTTGTGTTTCTGCTTCAAAAAAAATTAACAAGAGAAGTAAGACAATATACCACTCAACATTTTGATGACTGTATATTGACTGTTACTTATAGAATAACTTTACAAAATTAACAAATTTGGAGCATTTGAGCCAAGAACATGTTAAAGTGCCCTTGTGTCATATGACCTCTAGCAAAAGTGAATACTATCTGGGGCAAGTTTCTAAGTTTATCTGGAGTCCAGTGCTATAGATGGACATACTAATGCACAATCTTGGTACTATCAACCGAGAAACCAGAACCAGACTTTGAACCCATGGTTGGGATGCCAAGATCTGCTTCCCAAGCAATTCTTGCACCATTTATCAAACTTTACATCCATTACGATTTTTAGATCAGTGGTTCTCAACCTTCCAAATGCCACAACCCCTTAATACAATTCCTCATGTTGCCATAAAATTATTTTCATTGCTACTTCATAACTGCAATTTTGCTACCATTATGAATCGTAATGTAAATATCTGATATGCAGGATGTATTTTCATCCACTGGACCAAATTTGGCACAAATACCTGATATGTAGTTCGCCTACATCCAGGCAGAGCACTGTGGACTCAAACCATGAGAAATCTGGGCCAAACTAGGCACAAATACTTAAAATTTATTTGTTTGTTTGTTTGTTTACTGTATTAGTATACTGCCTTTCTCAGCCTGTAGGCGACTCAAGGCGGTTAACAGGGCAAAATTAAATGCTTACAATGTCATAAATACAATTAAAAACATAACATATAATACAAACTAAACGAATCAATAAAATATAAATTCATAGTGTTTCCTTGTTAAAAACATTGTCCGGACTCATTGTCTAGTCCTGAACCAGTGCCCGGCCGCTGTAATGGTCTGGATGGGGGCGAACAGATTGAAATTGAATCCAGACAAGACAGAGGTACTCCTGGTCAGTTGCAAGGCCGAACAGGGTATAGGGTTACAGCCTGTGTTGGATGGGGTCGCACTCCCCCTGAAGACGCAGGTTCGCAGCTTGGGTGTGATCCTGGACTCATCGCTGAGCCTGGAACCCCAGGTTTCGGCGGTGACCAGGGGAGCATTTGCACAGTTAAAGCTTGTGTGCCAGCTGCGCCCGTACCTTGGGAAGTCTGACTTGGCCACGGTAGTCCACGCTCTGGTTACATCCCGTTTAGACTACTGCAACGCTCTCTACGTGGGGTTGCCTTTGAAGACGGCTCGGAAGCTCCAACTAGTCCAACGCTCGGCAGCCATGATACTAACAGGAGTGGAGCGCAGGGAGCATACAACCCCCCTGTTGTGCCAACTCCACTGGCTACCGATTTGCTACCGGGCTCAATTCAAAGTGCTGGTGTTGACCTTTAAAGCCCTAAACAGTTCCGGCCCAAGCTACCTATCTGACCGCATCTCGGCCTATGAACCCACCAGGACTTTGAGATCTTCTGGGGAGGCCCTGCTCTCGATCCCGCCAGCGTCACAAGCACGGCTGGCGGGGACGAGAGATAGGGCCTTCTCGGTGGTGGCCCCCGGCTGTGGAACGCCCTTCCCACAGATATTAGGATTAGCACCATCTCTTATGGTATTCCGCAAGAAAGTAAAGACCTGGTTATTTCACCAGGCGTTTGAATAATTGTGCAATGACTGGTAACATAGGACATGACATAGGAATGGAACATGTTTTTAGTGATGAGATCTTAGTGAATGGTTATTATAGTAATTGTGTATTAATTGTGTATTAGATTAGGTTATTAACTGTTTATATTGGTGTTGAATTTTGATGTGTCCTGTGTCTTGTGAACCGCCGTGAGTCGCCTCTGGGCTGAGAACAGCGGTATAGAAGTAAAGTAAGTAAGTAAATAAATAAATAAATAGTCATTCCATTTTCCTGTGTCAGTTACTTTGCATTTGCAAACGCTTGTTCAAAAAGCCACGTCTTGACTTTTTTCTGAAAAGTTAAAAGGGGGGTGGCCGATCTAATATCTATAGGAAGGGCGTCCCACAGCCAAGGGGCCACTACCGAGAAGGCCCTGTCTCTCGTCCCCACCAAACGTATTTGTGACAAAGGCGGTAAAGAGAGCAGGGCCTCCCTGGATGATCTTAAGGTCCTAGATGGTTCATAAGGGGAGGTGCGTTCTGACAGGTAATGTTGTGACTCAGCTGGAACCACGGCCTGATAGTGTTGAGACTCAGATGGGGTCTCAGAGTGACTCTGACGAGGATGTTGGGAGTCAGGTTCACAATCAGGTTAAAAAATGTTCCTGTTGTAGACAATGAGGAACAGGGTGTGCAAGTTCAGTTTCCCACAGCAGGGAATGATGTTTCTGATACTGAAACTAGCCAGGTGCAAATGGACTCAGAAAAGGAGGAGAGTTCTCAGCCTGATAGTAAGCAAGAAGGCAACCAGGCGGACACTAATGAGCAACCTGACCTTGAGGGAACGGGAAGCTTAGATCGGGCTGACCTTTTGGAATGCAGAGTTCGAAGGAGTGTGAGAATAGCCAACAAAAAGGAGGTCAGAGGCCAAAGAAATGCTTTCATGTGTTGAAAAGGGTATTAAGCGGTGTGTTTGAAAACAAACCTTTGTCAGAGCAACTTTGCGCTCAACCAAGCAGCTTGTGCTCGTTTGCCTGGATTATCTTGTAGTTCTTGTGTCCATGGTCTCGGGACTTTGTCATGTTTTCATGAGATTTCGTTTTGTTGATGCCTCTTGGAATCCTGCTTTACCATGCTATGTTTCATTGATCTTTTGGAACATTACTTGCTTTTAAGAGCTTTTTATCTTTTACTTTTCAATAAACTACAAAGACTTCAGTCCATGTGCAATTTGGTGATTTTAGCAAGGTGGATCTACTCTGAGGTGTGACAGGTAAGTTGGGCCAGAACCATTTAGGGCTTAATAGGCTAAAGCCAGCACTTTGAATTGTGCCTGGGAGCAAACTGGCAGCCAGTGGATCTGGTGTAACAGAGGAGTTGTGTGCTCCCTGAGCGCCACTCCTGTTAGCAACCTGGCTGCCGTTCGTTGGACCATTTGAAGCTTCCAGATAGTCTTCAAAGGCAACCTCACGTAGAGTGTGTTGCAGTAGTCTAGATGGGATGTAATATGACCAAATGTGAATACTGGTGGAGTTTGGGGAAAATAGACTTTGACATTCAAGAGTTGCAGTTGCTGGGATTTATAGTTTACCTACAACCTAAGAGCATTCTGAATCCCACCGATGACAGAATTGGGCCAAATTTCCCACACAGAACACCCCTGCCTTGAAGGGACTGGCTGGCACAAGCCTCCCTCCAGCCTCGCACGCTCTCCCTCGCCCGCACGTGCACACCCCGCTGCTAAGCACTGAGCACGCCTTTGTGCACGCCACATCCCCAGCAGAGGTTGTTTGCTTGCTATCCATCTGATGTAGTTTAACCGGAGTGGTATGCCATCTCCATACGACTTTGTACAGATTTTCTTTTCACCTTATTGACAGATTCTTAACCACTCTGCACTTACATACAAATTTAACTTAAGAACAAACCTGCAGAATGTATCTTGTTTGTAACTTGGGAGACTGCCTGTAATACATTTTAATTTCTTTTGGTTACCTATTTTAAAAATTCTATTTATTTGTCTTTCGTTTGAATTTGGGGGCAAAGGGAACATCTGGAACAGAAAAATAAATTACTGAGAATAAACATCATAATTAATGTCAATGTACCTAACATGTTGTTTTCATTTAGTTGTTTTCATATAGTAAATTGTTACCCATCTGCTCAGTAACTTATTATTTATGGTTACTAGTTGTGACCAGCCTTTCGTTATTAAAATCCCTACGTTTTTGAAACAAAATAATTGCAGCGATAGGTTAAATTATTTGAGTTCTGCCTCAAGGAAGAAATTAATACAAATTCATCTGGATTTGGTGCAATTAACTCGAAAACCAGGGTGCATTTCATCGTGATTAAGAATGTCTTTTATTGGAGATATAGTCATGTCTAGGTTCACTGGGGGGAAATCACGTTGACATTCAGTCCGTGCGCCAGCAGGACTAAAGGCCAACAGGTCAGAGGTTCGAATCTGGGGAGAGCGTGGATGAGCTCCCTCTGTCAGCTCCAGCTCCCCACATGGGAACATGAGAGAAGCTTCCCACAAGGATAGTAAAACATCA